GAATTCGTGCAGGGAAGCGGGTGGATGGGGGAGAATCAGGGCGGGGGGGGGAGGAAATCGGGGTAGGGCGCAGTCGGGAGAGAAAGTGAAGTCGGGGTCAGAGAGCGCGCGCACGTGCGTGCAATCGGGGAGGGGAAGCGGAGTGGGGGGATCAGGGGGGATCGAATCCGGGAGTGAGAGAAAAGGGGGGAGGGGGATATCAAAGCGGTGGGGTGTTGAGGTGAGGATCACGATGGGCAACAGTCGGGGAGATAGGAAGATGGCAGCGGAATGGGTGGGGGAAAGAGGGGTCGGGATTAGAGTTGGGAAAGAGGGGAGCTGGAGGCGGAAGGAGGCGCTTGCGTGGTCGGTCATCTTACGTGTCAATGATCCTTCCTCAGGTCACGGACGGCAACCTTGTTACGACTTCTCCTTCCTCTCAATGATAAAGTTCAATGGACTTGTCACAGCACCGCCAGCAGCAGGACGCCGAGGTGGCCCCGATCCAGACACTTCACCTGGCAGTGGAATCAGTAGGAGCGACAGGCGAAGGACGAACCCGGGCACGAGCGGCAGCAGCAGGTTGGCGTCGACGGCCTGTAGGAAGACAGCAACAGCTGGAGTAGCTCTGGAGTCGGACAAGGCACCAACTTAGGTGACGAATGTATCTGGTCACATTGATGGACCAGGCGCGGTTGCAAGAACGCACTTGGCGATAGCTATCGTGATGGCCGGATAGCGAGGGAGGGAGGGAGGGAGCAAAGGTTCACCTGCTCCTATACCAATGTGACGCTCGTGCAGAGGGCACCCGCAGAAATGGTGAGAGAGAGATATAGAGAAGACACACACGAGAAGCAGCAGCTGAGTGAAGGTCCAGTCCGACTCAATGAATGAACAAATAACTGAAAGAATCACCCACCCGGCCTGGGCTTAGGTCGGAGAGATATACTGGCCTTGGTCCAGGCCGGAGTAACCCAGTACCGGACCGGGGTCAAGCCGACGGCCTGAAACAGGTCTGGCCTCACTGCCGGCCGGAGGGTACCACTACACAGACCCTGGCGCTGAAGTTCAAAAAAAGCTTGTCTTGAAACGGGCCTAAAAATGGCCTGCACTTATCCCAAGTCTGGCGCTTAAGTTTAAGGAAAGGTCGACTTTATGAGGGCCTAAAATTGCCCAGCTTCTTAGGCTTTTAGGGTGAAACGACACAGGGCCTGGAGGGCCCTTATTCTGGCTAGTCGGGCCCTGCAGGCCCGTGTGGTGCGCAGTATGCCACAGTTAGTAATCAGTAATACAAGTATGTCGTCCTCAAAAGATAGACATGTGAGAGAAGAGACAGAGAGGAGGGGGAGAAGAGTTACGTTAGTAATCAATAATACGAGTATGTCGTCCTCCAACTCCCACTTCGTCTTTGGTCATCTTCCACCATCACCACCTCACCAATGCATGCTCGTTCTCTCTCTGACGATCACCAATATAGTCTTTGTGCAGGCAGAGCGCCCAACCTCCCTCCAAAGCCCTGGCTATGGAGGTTGGCACAGTCGTTCCTCAACCTCGTGTAGACCAGCAGCATCTACAACTTACCAATCATCGTCATCACCATCAGTAGCATGGTGCGATAAGTGGATACTGCTCCGACACCAAATTGCAATGAACCCAATTTCCTTGAGAAGCCAATCAGCAATGTCACATAACTCTTAATGTTACATGCCCAGCTGGGCGATGTACACAGAAACCGAGGATCCGCAATGTGATGAAAAGGACTGCATGGACAATGCAGTGCAAGTAGAATCTCAACAAGCAATGTGCATTCTAATACATACAAAATGGTGCTGAATAGCGCAGGGAAGACTTAGATACAAATCCTGACCTGACCGGGACTGACCTCATTCACATAGTATAAGATAGCAAAGCAGAATGCTAGAATGCTAATGACTAGCCCAATCAATTTTTGAACGCAGACCAAACATACATCGTATCCATCACCAGGTGTGAAGGAGCCTGGCGCTGTACACAGGAAGAAAGCGCCAGGTCCAGACATACACAGACGAAGAGGAGGGGATCCAACGAAAGGAGGGAGAGAGATGGGAATGTCGTCAACACCAAGTCTTTGTCACAAGTCCCAAATAATCCCTCGTTGCAATGTCTGAAGTCCAAAAGTCGAGTCTGGATCCAATGTCACCAAGCTCTTTCTCTCTTCTCTCGTAGTCTGCAGATGCAGTGAAGTCAGATGATGAGAGGGTGAGAGGGAGATGGTGGACTGAGAAGAGGAAGTAGAAGAACTCTCTCTCTCTCTGTTACGAGCCAGGAACTAACCTGTGATGTTGGCGTTGTGCTGCAGGTACCACGAAAACGAAGCTGGAGCGCAAGTACCTCTGGCCTCCGCCCTATCTCTCTCTCTCTACTGCTATCCTAGGTATGGCGCCCAGAGCTGGGGACTACAGCTACCTACTGTGCCCAGCGATGAAGACTAAAGGCTAACACTACTACTACTCCTGTAGCGCTCCCTCTAGAGTGCTGCTGCCGAAACCTGAAGACTACTACTGCCTCCTGCCTCCCTGTGAAGTGCATGGGAAGTCCATATGTACTACCTCGGCCTGCCTCCTCACTGCCTGAAGGGCGAGCCAGGCCGAGGAGGTTGCTCTTGCCAATGCCGAAGTGTGCCCAGGGCTGGCGTTGCAGCAGCTGCTGAGGCTGGCGTGGGGAACAGGCTTAGAATAGCCTGTTCCCAAAACCCTGGTTCGGTGCCTGAGTTTCAGGGCCGGTCGTTGTGATGAACGATCGAAAATGGCCCTTCGTTTCAGACTAAAAAGGCTATTGCCATTTTTAGTCTGAAACGACACGGGGACTGTAGGCCCCTATTTTCAGGCTTTCGGGCTGAACAGTCACGGGGCCTGTAGGCCCTGGTTTTCAGGCTTTAAGACTGAATTTCAGGCTTTCAGCCTGAGGGACGCAGGGCCTGGAAAATGGCCGTCGTGTGCAGGTGCAGCATGTAACACCCCCCCTCCTTATGAAGTCAAGCCGGGGCGAGGGCGATGCCAACGATCTGAAGGTGGAACCTGGACGCGGGCGCGGCGTGGAGCCGAAGAAACCGGCTTGCCTTGCGTCTTGCGTTCGTAGCGTGCGAGAACGTCTAGAGCTGTTGCTTGAAGTTCCGCACGGGTCAACCAACAGTCAGCTCGGTGTGTGCAATATGCAAAATGCACTAAATACTCAGTTGGCCTGTTGTCGTAGCGTCATTGTGAGATGATGTCGCCGACCTCCTGAAAACCATCCATGGAGGGTGGGTCTTGCGAACGTCTCGTCATGTTCCGCTGGCGTGTAAAGAGCCAACTTGGAGCAATGAAAGACTGGGTAGACGGGCAAGTGGGCGGGCACCTGAATCGTGAAGGAAGGTCCCTCAGGTGCGTCCCCAACGGGTGCCACGATCGGCCAAGGCCCCATCCATTTTGGGAGGAGCTTGCGAGAGATGTCTTGTTCAAGGCTGAAATTCCGCTGTGGAAACCCAAACGAGGTCGTCGACGTGGAATGGGCAAGGAAGACGCTGGCGATTGGCCTGCGCGCTCATGCGCTGTTGCGTCTTCGCCATCTGGTCGCGTGCCTTGACAAGAAGCTCTTGCATCCGACGCAAGAAAAGAAGATGGTCGTCGCTCTCGACCGTTCGTGGAGTAATAGTGTTCAACGGTGAAGTGACCGGCGAGCCGTGCTCGAACTCGAAAGGCGATACCCCGATAGTCGGGTGGATAAAAGAGTTGTAGGCCAACTCGACATCCGGCAACTGCTCAACCCAGTCCTTCTGGTCAGGACGGATGAGAGTGCGAAGGAGAACCTGTGCGGTCTGGTGCACCCTCTCCGTTTGGCCATCGGTCTGAGGGTGGCGAGCTGAATTGGGCTTGAGAGATGAGCCCCATCGCTTGATGAGAGCCAACCAAAAATCCGACATGAACCGAGTGTCGCGGTCCCAGACGATTTCCTTAGGGTAACCCTTGGTTCGAATCCAACCGGCGTAGAGAACCTCGGCCAACTCCAGTGCCTTGGCATGATAGCGACAAGGCGAAAACATGGCGAACTTGGTGAGTCGGTCGACCACCGGGAGAATCCCATCCACTCCGGTCTTGTGCTTGGGGAACGGGCCGGTAATGTCCATGGCAATCGCTTCCCTTCGCCTCAACGGGACCGATAATGGTCGTAACTCGCCGTACGGACGATGGTTGCGAGATTTGCAGCATCGGCAAACCTCGCATGACTCGCAATAGCGTGTGACGTTGCCGAGAAGGCCGGGCCACCAAAATCGCTCGCGAAGTCGGCCAATCGTGCGATTGACTCCAAAGTGTCCGGTGGCGGGAGCATCGTGGAACTCGCCAAGGAGCCGTGTACGCAAGTGAGGATCACTCGGTACGCAAAGAAGGTCCTTCCCCTGCGTGTGGACAAGCAAGTACCCCTCTTTGATCCGGTAGTGGACGAAGACGAGGAGCTCCTTCTTGCGTGCATCGTCAATGGAATGCACGACAAACACTTTCTTGCTGAAATACTCAATCGGGTGTCAGTCCACACCATCATGTTGCTCGAGGACTGCACCAATGCCATAGCCTGATACATCCGTAGTGATGCGCGTAAGCAAAAGCGGGTCGTATATCCGCAAGACCTCCGCAGATAATAGTGCGGCTTTGAGAGCCAAAAATAGTTCCCCCACCTCCTCTCCGAAGTCAAACGGTCGATCCTCGCATTGAAGCTTGGTCAAGTGGGCCGCGATCTTCGAGTAGCCTTTGATAAAACACTGGTAGTAGCCGGCAAGGCCAAGGAACGAACGAACATTCGTGACGTTCCGAGGCTCCGTCCACTCTTGGATGGCGTGAATCTTGTCCGATAGCGGACTGATGCCCTCCGGTGTGACAAAATGGCCCAAGTATTCCAGCTCTTGCCAAACAAATTCACACTTGTCGCGGTTGGCCTTGTACTTGGCGCGGTGGAGCGTCTCCAACACTCGTCGAAGATGCCCAAGATGATCCTCCAACGACCGGCTATAGACGAGAATATCGTCTTAGTAGACCAGCACGAACCGGTCCAACATTGCACGAAACTCGTTGGTCATTGCCGCTTGAAAGGTCGTCGGGGCGTTGGTGAGGCCAAAAGGCATGACCACCCACTCAAAATGCCCGTACCTCGTCTTTAACGTGGATTTGTAGCGATCATTCGGCCGGATCGAGATTTGATGATATCCTGATTTCAAATCCAACTTAGAAAAGTACTTTGCATCGCACAATCGCTCAAGAAGATCGTCGATGCGAGGAAGAGGCCCCGCATTCTTGATAGTTTGCGCGTTGAGCTTGCGCTAGTCGATACACAATTGTAGATCCTTGTTCTTCTTCCAGATGAAGAGAACAGGTGCTCCATATGGGGAGCTACTAGGGCGGATTCAGCCCTTGGCCAACAAATCGTCGAGTTGTGCGCGGAGGACCTCAAGCTCCTCCTCGCTCATCCGATAGATGCAACCTTTCGGCGGCACGACACCGACCTCAAGAATGATCTCGTGAGACATCGGCCGATCCGGCACCACACCGGTAGGTGACTCGAAGATGTCGGCGAACTCATCCAGCAGTCGCACCGCCCGGGGGTCCGAAGACAAGTCGGTGGGTGAAGCGTAGGCTACCGCGACGGTCCGTAGGAAACATAGGCCGATTTCCTCGGGCTGCTCGTAAGCGCAAGTCGCCCAGAATGATTTGGCCGTCACCACTTGGCACCAAATTGAAGGGTGCGGTAGAGGAATAGTACACGCCACTTCCGCGCCGAAGGCGTCGCGAACGCTAAGAGTCCGCCGGTGGAAGTTGACCGTGTGATCCGCACTTGCAAGCCAAGGCATTCACAAAATGATGTCGAAGTCCGTGTCGAGAATATCGAATGTCACCGGTTCGCATGCGTGAGGTGCGAAATAGACCGGTACGGCCTCGATGTAACGGTCAGGAAGTTGCTGCATTTTCCCATCCGCCAACTTGATCGCCATCGGGTTTGCCTTCCTCCGAACTTGTGCGCCAAGGCCAGCCCTTTGCATAAAGGATTGGTTCATGAAATTGCGAGACGCGCCGCTATCTAGCAAAGCGCTGCAGGAGGCTTGCCCAACTTGAATGCAAACATACATGGGCGGTGCGTTGTTGTCATCGTACCGCTGCGTGCGAAACTCGCGGGCCACCTTGGTAGTATACGCAAGGATGTCCCCCACCGCGACTTCGTCATCCGTCGGCGAAGTTGGTGGTGCATAGAAGGATAAGTAAGTGTGGAGATGAGCGCATAGTGCTGCGCATTGCGGTCCCGGCAAGCGGCCTGTGGTCGGGAGAGGAAGCCATGCAAAGTCCTCGGACGTGAGCGGGTCCAATACCTCTATGTTGAACTCGCGCGCCGAATCCTGTGAAGAACCACTTGAAAACGATAAGTCATCGCTGCCGGACGGAGAACATGCCGCACATACATCTTGTCCTTAGCTTGAGTTCCCAGCGTAGGAACGAGCCGGACAGCATAGTCCTCAAAAGAAAGTAGAAGAGAAGGACTATCGAATTCCACATGCGCCTCGGAATGAAGGCCGGTTACTCGCGAAGAAACCGGTTTCGGAGGCGTCGAGAGTGTTGTCGAGTCACTCTCGGCGATGCTCAGTTTCCCTGTTTGCCCTTGCCTTTCAATGGGCAGACCAGTGTCTAATGAAAATCACTGTTGCACCATAGGCAATAGTGGAATCTCGTGCGCGCCTTGAAGGCTATGCCGTATTGGGACCAAGGGGATGGAGGTGCTGCGCCAAGCCCGGGGCTAGATGCGGTGTGTGTCTTCGTTTTGCCGCGTCCTCGGCCTCTGCCGGGGCGGTCACCTTCCCGGGCGACTGCGAGTCTGTCTCCTTCATAGGCAGACACGGCCTCGCTGGTTTGGTCCAACGGCGTTGTCGCTGCGACCACGGCCACTCTTGGCCGATGTTGGTCCCTGCTCGGGCCTTCCGCAGACGAACGCAGATTCTTCGCCTCCTTGTTCGTAATGATAATCTGCACGACCTTGTCAAAAAGTTCTGTCGTCGTCGTCAAGGTGTCCTTGACGTGAGTCAGGGCATTGCTTAATGCCGGACATGACCTTGAGATGAAATAGTGGCGGATGGCTTTGAAGTCCATCTGGATGTCTGGGACTGACGTCAAGTATTGGTACTCGGCGATCAAGTCGGTACTCGGCAGCGTGCCTTGCTCGAAGACCATGAGCTTGTCCATAGCCTTGGTCTTGGGCGGCTCGACTTGGAACCGCTTGTGCCACGCTGCCTTCAGATCATCCCAACTGATCTTGGTGTGCAAGTCGTTAGCTACCACTCCGTACTTGGACAAGAGGTTGTCCAACCAAGCTTGGCACGCGCCCCCTGAGCAAGAGTATAAGTATGCGTGGTGCTTGTGTTCTTTGACCATGTGTAGCTGGAGTGTGAGCTCGAACTTGCGGAACCATGGAATCGGATCTGTCTTCATCGAGTCGCTGAAGATCTCCTGCCCGTCAAACTTTGGAGTTGTCTCGCGCGGTTCCGAACTTGAGGTGTTGGCGGTAGTACAGATCCGCTGTTGCAACTGTTGCGTTGCGGTCTGCTGTAACTGCACGCCGTCCTTGAGGGAGCCGACGTCCATCTCCAATGCTTCGAGGCGATCAGAGGTATTGGAAGAGTTTGCATCGGGGGCGGCGACAGGTCGCTGCTCCTGCTGCTGAAGGCGGCCTTGGACTTGAGGTAGCGAGTCGTCGAGGCTGTGGATATCCTCCTGCTGTGTAATGCAGGTTGCCAGGAGGTCTGTGAGATGCGAGAGGAGGAGAGTGATCTTGTTTTCGCAATCCTCCAACTTGCCATTCTCGGCCTCGGGTCGCCATGCCGCTGCCATTGTGAGCAAAGTCTGCTCTCCGCTAAATATCTTCTCACGACGTTGGTTTCTTTCTTCATCGGCAGCCCTTGCTGGTGCCTCGTCATGCTGGCGCTGTTGTTCAAGTGCCAGCAGACGTGCCTGCTCGGCGTCCTCTGCCTTCTTCTTCGCTGCTGCTGCTGCGTCATCCGCCCATTTCTTTGTTTCGGTACTCCAAGCCAGCATCCGGGCCTGATAGGCCTCGTCTGCTTCTCTGGACCTCTGGTCCATGACGGTTGTTTGTGACCGCAACAGCTTATACCAGGCCGGGGGCCTGCTGACGTGGTATTTCCTGCTCTGTCGGCTGACGTGTCCTGCTGACGTGTCCTGCTGACGTGTCCTGCTGACGTGTCCTGCTGACGTGGCCTGCTGA